AGCCTGGAGTGTAGTGGCTCCGTCTCAACTCACTGCAACCTCTGCCTCCTGGGTTCAAGTGATTCTCCTGCCTCAGCCTCCCAAGTAACTGGGACTACAGTTGTGTGCCACAATACTTAGCTAATTTTTTGTGTTTTATTAGAGACGGGGTTTCACCGTGTTGGTCAGGATGGTCTCAATCTCCTGACCTCGTGATCCCCCCACCTCAGCCTTCCAAAGTGCTGGGATTACAGCTGTGAGCCACCACGCCCAGCTGGTTTCTGCTTTTGTCTTCTTCATTCTCTCTTTGCCTGCTGCCACCCATGTAAGAGGTAACTTGTTCCTCCTTGCCTTCTGCTGTGATTGTGAGTCTTCCCCAGTCAAGTGGAACTGTAAGTCCAGTTAAATCTCTTCCTTTTGTAAATTGCCCAGTCTCAGACATGTCTTTATCAGCAGCATGAAAATGTACTAATATAGTAAATTGGTACCAGTAGAGTGATGTGTTGCTGAAAAGATACCCGAAAATGTAGAAGCGACTTTGGAACTGGGTAACGGGAAGAAGTTGGAACAGTTTGGAGGACTCAGAAGAAAACAGGAAAATGTGGGAAAGTTTGGAACTTCCTAGAGACTTGTTGAATGGCTTTAACAAAAATGCTGATAGTGATATGAACAAAAAGGTCCAGTCTGAGGTGGTCTCAGATGGAGATGAGAAACTTGTTGGGAACTGAAGCAAAGGTGACTCTTGTTATGTTTTAGCAAAGAGGTGGCAGCATTTTGTCCCTGTCCTAGAGATTTGTGGAACTTTGAACTTGAGAGAGATGACTTAGGATATCTGGTGGAAGAAATTTCTAAGCAGCAAAGCATTCAAGAGGTGATTTGAGTGCTATTAAAAGCATTCAGTTTTAAAAGGAAAACAGAGCATAAAAGTTTGGAAAATTTGAAGCCTAACAATGTGATAGAAAAGAAAATCCCATTTTCTGAGGAGAAATCCAAGCCAAGTGCAGAAATTTGCATAGGTAACCAGGAGCCAAATGTTAATCCCTAAGACAATGAGGAAAATGTCTCCAGGGCATGTCAGAGATCTTCACGGCATCCCCTCCTATCACAGGCCCAGACGCCTAGGCAAAAAACTGGTTTCCTGGGCTGGGACCAGGGTCCCTAAGCTGTATGCAGCCTAGGGACTTGGTGTCCTGTGTTCCAGCTGATTCAGCCATGGCTGAAAGGAGCCAATGTAGAGTTTGGATTGTGGCTTCAGAGGGTGAAGCTCCAAGCCTTGGAAGCTTCCACATGGTGTCAAGCCTACAGATGCACAGAAGTAAAGAATTGAGGTTTGGGAATCTCTGCCTAGATTTCAGAAGATGTATGGAAATGCCTGGATACCCAGGCAGAAGTTTGCTGCAGGGGTGGGGCCCTCATGGAGAACCTTTGCTAGGGCAGTGTGGAAGGAAAACATGGGGTCAGAGCCCCACACAGAGTCCCTACTGGGGTACTACCTAGTAGAGCTGTAAGAAGAGGGCCACCACCCTTCAGGCCCCAGAATGGTAGATTCACTGACAGCTTGCACCATGTGCCTGGAAAAGCCACAGACACTCAACACCAACCCATAAAAGCAGCCAAGAAGGAGGCTATACCCTGCAAAGCCACAGGGGTGGAGCCTCCCAAGACCATGGGTACCCACATCTTGCATCAGCATGACCCAGATGTGAGACATGGAGTCAAAGGAGATCATTTTGGAGCTTTAGAATTTGACTGCCTCACTGGATTTTGGACTTGTGTGGGCCCTTTATCCCCTTTGTTTTGACCAATTTCTCCAATTTGGAATGATTGTATTTACCCAATATCTGTACCTCGATTGTATCCAGGAAATAACTAGCTTGCTTGTGATTTTACAGGCTCGTAGGCAGAAGGGACTTGCCTTGTCTCAGATAAGACTTTGGACTGTGGACTTTTGAGTTAATGCTGAAATGAATTATGACTTTGGGGGACTATTGGGAAGGCATGATTGGTTTTGAAATGTGAGGACATGAGATTTGGCAGTGGCTGGGGCGGAATGATATGGTTTGGCTCTGTGTCCCTGCCCAAATCTCATGTTGAATTGTACTCCCATGATTCCCAAGTGTTATGGGAGGAATGCAGTGGGAGATAATTGAATCATGGGGGAAGTTCCCCCATACTGTTCTCATGGTAATGAATAAGTCTCATGAGATCTGATGGTTGCACCAGGGGTTTCCGCTTTTATGTCTTCCTCATTCTCTCTTTGCCTGCTGCCATCCATGTAAGATGAGACTTGATCCTCCTTGCCTTCCATGATTGTGAGGCTTCCCCAGCCATGTGGAACTGTAAGTCCAATTAAACCTCTTTATTTTGTAAATTGCCTAGTCTCAGGTATGTCTTTATCAGCAGTGTGGAAACAGACTAATACAGAATAAAACAAATAATAAAATGGCCAGAAAAGGCTGGGCACAATGACTCATGCCCGTAATCCCAGCACTTTGGGAGGCCAAGGTGGGGGGATCACTTGAGGCCAGTAGTTTGAGACCAGTCTGGGCAACATAATGAGATCCCTTGTCTCTATAAAAAATAGAAAAAAATTAGCCAGGTGTCGTGATGGCACCTGTAGTCCCACCTACTCAGGAGGCTGAGGTGGAAGGATCACTTGAGGCCAGGAGGTCGAAACTGAAGTGAGGTATAATTGTGCCTCTGCATCCTAGACTGGGCAAAAGAGCAAGACTCGGTCTCAAAAGAAAAAAAAAGGCCAGAAAATAGACAGACAGTGAAGTTTTTCTTGTATTAAACTTTGTATAAACAATCATCCAAGGCTGGATTACTAAACAGCAATGTGACCTTGGCAAGTCCTTGGTGACACTCAGTAAATACCGGATGGATGGATGGATGGATGGATGGATGGATGCATGAACCAAAGCATTTGTCTGTTTCATCACTCTGGATTGATTATCTCTGTAAAAACAAGCAAGTCAGTCCAGGCACAGTGGCTCATGCCTGTAATCCCAGCACTTTACCCATCCAAGGCTGGGTAAAACAAGGCTGAGACCTACAGGGCTGCATCCCCAGACGGTTAGGTATTCTAAGTCACAGGATGAGATAGAGGTTACAAGATACAGGTCACAAAGACCACACTGATAAAACAGGATGCAGTAAAGAAGCTGGCTAAATCAGCTACTCAGAAGACTGAGGCAGGAGAATCGCTCGAATCCGGAGGCGGAGGTTGCAGTGAGCTGAGATCGCGCCATTGCACACCTACCTGGGCACAAGAGCGAAACTCCATCTCAAAAAAAAAAAAAAAAAAAAAGAAGCCAGCTAAAACCCACCAAAACCAAGATGATGATGAGAGTGACCTCTGGTCATCCTCATTGCTCATTATACATTAATTATAATGCATTACCATATTAAAAGACACTCCCACCAATGCCATGACCATTTACAAATGCCATGGCAATGTCCAGAAGTTACCCTATATGGTGTAAAAGGAAGAGGAACCCTCAATTCCAGGAATTCCCACCCCTTTCCTGGAAATCTCATGAATAATCCATGCCTTGTTTAGCATATAATCAAGAAATAACTATAAATATACTCAGTTGAGCAGCCCATGCCACTGCTCTGTCTCTACAGTAGTCATTCTTTCATTCCTTTATGTTCTTCATAAACTTGCTTTCACTTTACTCTGTGGACTGGCCCTGAATTCTTTCTTGCGGAAGATCCAAGAATCCTCTCCCGGGGTCTGGATTGGGAGCTAATAACATATTTAACTCAGATATTAATGGATAGAATGTATCAGATCAGATTACAGTCCTACACTGTCTCAAAAAATAATAATAGTTTTTATTTATAACATAGGATAGTCTATGGACCTCTGTTTCATGGGTCTCTGCCTGTTGCACCTTCTCCACCCCTGGTAATTACGACACCTAGCACATGCTTTAAAACCTTCTAGGGTGCCCACCTACAAGATACTTCAAGCCAAGAGAATGGCTCTAAAAGCCTTTCACCATAGAGCCACAGTCTCCAGGTCTGAGCCATTTGACAGCACCTTGCCCCCACACCCTCCCTTCCAACCACACCCGGCTCCCAAACTCCCCAACCTCACGACGCCACTCACAACTGGGCATTGCCCACCTGTTAGCTCTGCCTAGAATGCCTCTCCCCCTGGCCCATCTCTTCTGCCTGGCAACTAAACTGCTATTTGTTCAAGACCCAGCTCCAAAAGCACTTGCTCTGTAAAGCCCTAGCCAACTGCTCTGCACCCACTTCCCCGCTGCGTGGTCTCCCTGCATCATTCCTGCAACCCTTCTTTCCTCTCTCCTGCCCTCCTCCATCCTTCCTTCCTAATTCAATGAAATACAGGGCTTCTGGGCCGGCCCTGCGAGGCACTAAGGAGTCAAGGTTGAAGAGGGACATGGATCAGTGATAACACTATTAGTGTCAGTCGTGAGAACCTCAAGAACAGAGCAGCTCCATGTGCCCAACCCTCAGCACCAGCCTGGCACCTTGCAGGTGCTCCGGGCACATCTGTCGAGCGAAAAGATTCTATGGAGGGTGTCCTAACCTCTGGTTCCTCTGAATGTGATCTTATGTGAAAATAGGCTGTGATCAGGTTAAGATGAGTCCTACTGGATTGAGTGGGCTCTAATCCTATAACTCATGCTCTTATAGGAGGCGGGAGATCGGGGCCTGGACATACAGGAAGACAGAAACTGGAATGAGGAGGCATCTGTAAGCAAACCCACAACAAGAACTGCGGGCAGCCGCCAAAAGCTAGAAAGAGGCCAGGACAGACTCTCCCTAGAGCCTGAGGAGGGGACACGGCCCTGCCCAAGCCTTGATTTCAGACTTCTGGCCTCCAGAACTGTGACAGAAGACACCTCTGCTGCCTCAAGCCACCCAGTTAGTGGTAATTTGTTACCGCAGCTCTAGCAAACAGAATACAGAGTCCAAGCAGGACTGGCTGTCACACCCCCGACTCCCCGCTGATCCCCGTTTTGATAACCTGGAGGCTAACTCACCCCAAGCCCAAGCGTCGCCTCCAGCCGCAGAAGGCCGCCTCCTCACTCGACACTAGATGGCGCCAGCGGGCTGAGCCGGCCCGGCTTCGTGGGCTCCTGGTGGGTGGGGTGAGTCGCCCGCAGGCCGAGACCCCAAATCCAAGGTGAAGATCAGACATCCAACTTCTTCGAGTTCTTCCCAGGGAGAGCGGCTTTTTTTCCAGTCAGAGGGAGGAAATTGGACCCTCTGCCCTGGCCCTGCCTGCCCGGCGCGCCCTTGCGCCCTCGGGTCTGAGCTGCCCGTGGTGCTTCCTCCGGCCTCTGCTGCAGGCCCGGGCGCTGCTGAGCCTGCGTGAGGACGCGCACGCGGACCGCGAGGGTGGCGAGCACCCCGGCCTGCGCAGGCAGAAGAATTTGCCCTCGTACTCGAAGCTGGGGCTTTCTGGGTGTGAGGACGGCTGCCTGCCAAAGGGCATGGCAGCGGGGAAGGAAGACGGGGTGGATCCACTCCTCTTCGTGGATCCTGTATTTTCTTCTTTTTTTTAATTTTAAAATTTTGCATCATTAGTTTTGTTTTGGTTTGTTTTTTGTTTGCTCGTTTTGAGACAGGGTGTCATTCTGGCGCCTAGGCTGGAGTGCATTGGCACGAACACAGCTCCCTGCAGCCTCGATCTCCTGGGCTCAGGTGATCCTCCCACCGCAGCCTCCATACTCTATCCCAGGAATGAAAAACTAGGCCTGCAACAGACCCCGCAGAGCTGTCGGCATGGTGCCCACAAGATCTGGCCATGGAGAAAAATGGGAGGGGCTAAATTACTGCCTCTCACAGGTGGGCTCTACTCTGGTCCTTCAAGTTCCCTTACATCTTCCTGTGGGAGACACACCACTTCTATTTCACCTCAGAAGCAATTTCCTGAAACAGGCTTTGGTCCTTCCCTCTGAACAAGTGTGATGGACCCTGCTCCACATCCTGGTCACAGTCCACAGACCCATGCGCTCTAGCCCTCCGCACAGGTTCCCTGCACACACTCTTCCAAATCAAAGCAATTTGTTCATTTCTCTGTCTTTCCCTCCTTTCTTCTCCTTGCTATGCATAGAGATAAGCAGCCTTTTTGATCCCTTTGTTTCTCATTCCTTTCCATACAGTCAGCCACAAAGCTCAAGACGCTTCACCTGAATGATTTTCCCAAATACATGAGCAATTCTGTGAATTCTTCCTAGCTAAGTCAAGCCCCCCTTCTGCTCTCATCACCTGAGGGCTAATGAACATCTTTTACCAGATGCCTGCAGTGGTCTTTCCAGTTGGTGTCCACTCCAATCCACTGTCCATCAAGCTCTTTCCTGATACGTTACACTGCGAGCACACCATTCTTCTCTTCAGTATCCTTCAATGACTCCCATTTGCCTGCAGAATCACATCCACATCCTTAGTATGGCATTCAAAGTCCTGCCCCACTGGGTGCCTTCTTCCTTTTCTCACTAGTTCCCTCACCAGCCCCCTCCATGCTGGCTGCCTGCCCATTCTCTGAATGTGTTCTTTTTTTTTTTCTTTGACAGAGCCTCACTCTGTCACCCAGGCTTGAGTGCAGTGGCACCATCTCAGCTCACTGTAACCTCCACCTCCTGGATTCAAGTGATTCTTCTGCCTCAGCCTCCCGAGTAGCTGGGACTACAGGCAAGAGTCACCATGCTGGGCTAGTTTTTGTATTTTTAGTAGAGACGGGGTTTCATCATATTGGCTAGGCTGGTCTCAAACTTCTGACCTCAAATGATCCGCCCACCTCAGTTCTCCCAAAGTGCTGGGATTACAGGCATGAGCCACCGCACTTGGCCTGGATGTGTTCCTGTCGTGGGAAGAAGCCCTGGTCCAACCCCCACTTCTGAGACTGAATGTATGAGTTTGCTAGGGCTGCCATTACAATCTTCCATAGACTGGGCAGCCTGAACAGTCCATAGACTGTTGTTTAAACAACAGAAATGTTTGTTCTTACATTCTGGAGGTTGGAAGTCCAATAGCAGGATGTCAGCAAGTTTGGTTCATCCCCAGGCCCGTGAGGGCAAAATCTGTTCCAGACCTCTCCTTGGCTCATACAAGGCTGTCTTCTCCCCGTGTCTTCACATCATCTTCCATTTCCTCTTCTTGTAGGGACACCAGTTATATTGCATTAGGGCCATCGGGTGACCTTATTTTGACTTAATTACCTCTTTAAAGACCCTATCTCCAAATACGATCACATTCTGAGGGACTGAGAGTTAGGACTTCAACACTCCAACATATGAATGGGGGGAAGGGGGAACAATTCCATCCATAATACTAAAAGTCCCAACAAATAATTTTATTTTTCCGGATAAAGTAGATGAAAATAGCAGCCAATGAGAATTGTTTATTGTTCTTAAGCAAGGCCCTGCAGGTAGCTGTGTGACCTGTCCCAGAAGGCAGATTACTAATTTGTAACAAGAGATCAGATAAATTTTTAAAATTTCTTGTTAACTTATTCCTTCTATTCCTTCTGTGTCTAGGTAGCATGCCCTTTTGTTTGTTTGTTTGTTTTTTGAGAAGGCGTCTCGCTCTGTCACCCAGGCTGGAGTGCAGTGGTGCGATCTCGGCTCACCACAACCTCCGCCTCCCAGGTTCAAGCAATTCTCCTGCCTCAGTCTCCCAAGTAGCTGGGATTACAGGCGCCTGCCACCACATCCAGCTAATTTTTCTGTTTTTAGTAGAGACAGGGTTTCACTATGTTGGTTAGACTGGTCTCAAACTCCTGACCTTGTGATCTGCCCGCCTCGGCCTCCCAAAGTGCTGGAATTACAGGCATGAGCCACTACGCCCTGCCCTTTTGTTTTGTTTTGTTTTGTTTTGAGACAGGATCTCTCTCACCCAGACTGAAGTGCAGTGGTGTGAACCCAGATCACTGCAGCCTCAACCTCCTGGGCTCAAGCAATTCTTCCACCTCAGCCTCCCAAGTAGCTGGGACCACAGGTGTGCACCACAATGCCCAGCTATTTTTTCTAATTTTTGGTAGAGATGAGGGTCTCACCATGTTGCCCAGGCTGCTCTTGAATTCCTGGGTTCAAGAGATCCTCCTGCCTCAGCCTCCCATGGTGTTGGGATTACAGGCATGAGCCACTGTGCCCAGAGCGTTTTACTTTTTAATATATAATTTTAGTTTAATTAATTTATTAAACAGGTAATACATTCACTTGCTTAAAAATTCTGAAGTACAAAAGGGAGTAGAAGATTCTTCCTCCCATGTCACTCTCCCAAGCACCAGAATCTCTCTCCAGAGTCATCCAGTGCTCTCAATGTCTGGGGTGTATTTACAGACATCCTCTGTGCATACAGAAGCAAGCACATTGACACTGTTTCTCTCTTTTTGTATACAAATGATTGCATTTCTATACTTGGCCTATTCTATACCTGGCCTATTTCTTCTATTCCTTCATACTTGGCCTTTTTCATACAATGTATTCTGCAGTTGGTGCCAGGCTGTATTATTCTTTTTTTTTTTTTTTGTATGCCTTTTATGTTTGGATATATCATATGTATTTAACCAGCCCATGTTGGTGATTATTTAGGTTATTTTCAAATCTTTGCTTTATTAAACCATTGCACTGAGTAACTTATATGTAACACATATGAACAAGATATCTGTAGGAAAAATTCCTGCAAGTAGAATGCTATGGTTTGAATGTATGCGTCCCCCCAAAATTTATATGTTGGAACTTAAACCCCAAGGTGATGGTATTAAAAGGTGAGGCCTTTGGAAGGTGATTAGGTCATGAGGGTTCCACCTGGGAGAATGGGATTCATGCCCTTATGAAAGTGCTGGAGGGCACTAGCCAGGCCTCTTTGGGCCCTTCCATCTCTTCTCCCACGTGAGGATGTAGGAATCAACCCTTTTGCCCTTCCACCACAAGAGGATGCAGCCAGAAAGTGCCATCTTGGAAGCAGAGAGCAGCCCTCACCAGACACCAAATCTGCAGGTGCCCTGCCCTTTGACTTCCCAGCCTCCAGCACAGTGAGAACTTTCTATTGTTTA